TTCATACAATAAGAATAAATATATAAGATTTAACAAAGAGAAAGAGCAGCAGCAATTAACCTCTACCATAGGAGACTTTGAGTGAAGATAGTTTTTATTCCAAAACGTAACACATGGTTTCTGGGATTTACTTAAAAGATACTCTAGGATGGGTCATCGGATAAGAGTGCTGCTTTCTGCTCTTCCAGAGGACCTGAGTTTGGTTCACAACACCCAAGTCAAAAGGCTCACGGCTTCCTGTAACTCCAGCTCTAGAGGATTCAATGCCTTCTTCCAGCATCTGAGAATACTCACATCTATATGCCATACACACATACAGAAATACACAGACACAACTAAAAAACAAACAAACAGAAACAATCCTGTATGTTTTGAGAGGGGAGGGGCAAAAAGAGATGTGGAGGGGAGACATCTTGATCAGACTGGCTATGAATTGATACTTGTTGGGTTAAATATTGATACATCCTGGATAAATAGGTGTTAAGCTTCTCAAGGTTGGTATGTTTTGCCACATCCACAATGAAATATTTAGCAAATAATAAGCAAATACGGCTTATAAAAACATCTTTAAAATTAACCTCACTGTTCTGGAGGTGGGGTTCAGGTATGTGACCCCAAGCTCTTTCCCCTTGGTGGTTTGCTTTCTCCAGTTCAGGAGAGAGGTTTAAAGAGAAGATGGGATGCAGAGGAACAGTTACTCCCTCAGGTCTTTTGTATTTCAAGAGCCAGATATAATTTCCGAAGGGCTCCTGGGCTTTTAGATGCATGGCGTGAAGCCACTTTGGCGCTCCCAGATTGGCTTCTGCCACATGGTTTCCGTCTGTGACAGTCTCCACAGGTGGTCTTAGCCTAAACCTGGATAGGATGTCCTTTCCCTCCTGGTGATGACTTTCCTGGCAACAATGACTCCGGGAAAGGAAAAACAGGATCTGACTTGAGCTGCATAATGCATAAATAAATAAATTCATAAGTAAAGGCCTTAGTGAATTAAGTGGAATTACTTTCCCAACCTCGGTGAAGATATCCTTTTTTTGTTTTTTTTTCAGGACAGTGTCTCTTTGTGTAGCCCTGGCTGTCCCGGAACTCTCTCTGTAGATCAGGCTGGCCTCAGACTCAGAGATCTGCCTGCCTCTGCCTCCCAAGTACTGGGATCAAAGGCGTGCGCCACCACTGTGTGACTTCAGTGAAGACATTTTATTAAAGATGTATGAGTTACTTTTCTCCCTTGCCGTGACAAAATACCAGGTGAAAGGAACCAAAGAAGGGGAGGATTTGTTTGGCCTGCTAGAAGGTATAATCAATCTTTTGAGAGTGACAGGACATTGCTATCTGTGTAGTTCAAGCTGGAGAACCACAAAACTGAGTTAGTACCTCCCATTCCCACCAAGGAGAGAAGCAAAATTTAAGGAGTCACCATACTTAGGCTCTGTGAGTGCAGGGTGTCCCCTGATGGTGGGCTGCCTCTGTTTCCTACACTCTAGGTGCCTCTACCTCCCTCAGCCTGCACTCTCCTCACCCGGACATTCTGGAATGTCTCGGCTTCTTCCCTTACTGACATCTCACAGATGCATTTTTGTATTCTCAGTGTAGCAGCCCCAGGGATTCTGCTACCGTCTCCTCTCACCATCTCGCCATCTGCCCTCTCACCAGCTCTCCTCTGCCTTCTCGTCTTCCTCGCCCTGACTTCACTATTCATTAGGGTTCTCAGAAGAGGGAACCTCAGTGGAGAAAATGCCTCCATCAGATTGGCCTGTAGACAAGTCCATGAGGGCATTTTCTTGATTAATGATTGATACGTGAGGGCCTGGCCAGTGGACAATGCTGTCTCTCGGCAGGCAGTCCTGGATGGTATAAGAAAGCAGGCTGAGCAAGCCATGGAGAGCAAGCCTGCAAGCCATCTCCCTCCGTGGCCTCTGCTTCAGTTCCTTCCTCTAGGTGCCTGCCCTTACTTCCCTTGGTAGCAGACTGAGCTATAAGATGAAATAAACCCTTTCTTCCCTACATTGATTTTGCTCATGGCCTTTATCCCGGCAATAGGAAGCAAGCTTGTCTTCACAGTTACCTCTTTGTGGCTTGCCACTTGCTCTAGATCTCTGCCTTGCCTGACCACTCTGCCTGTGGCAACCTTGGTTTATTACATACCCTTGTCTCCTAAGACTCTTCAACTGCCTTTTGGGTGGGTGTACCCTGAACCCCTTTTTGACTGTGCACCCCACACATCTGACACCTTTCTGCTTTGGTTTCTCCACAGTTCCCCTGTTTTACTTTCTCCATGTTCCCCTCCCCTAGAGCAAACCAAAATGGTGCACGGGGAGGGATTTTTGTCTGTTTCATTCATGGCTGTGTGCACACTACCTAGATTAAAGTGCTAGCACACATGTGATGCGTCAGTGATCCAGTGCCTGGGAGAACCACCCTTGACCTCATGTGGACAGCTGGTGCCCAAGGCCCCTCCTGGTAAGTCCCCATGTGACTCCTGGCCCCTTGCCAGTGTATAGGCCATGCCCTGAGTTGGCTGTCGAAACAAGCAACAGGACTCTGCAATCAGACACTGACTTCTTTCTCCTTTGTCTTTGTTGGCCTCAGTTCATCCGAAAGCTTCGTTTCTGGAAAACCAACAGAGCCCCGAGCCAGAAAAGTCTATCCAACCTCCTTGTTGTTTCAGCTGTTTTCAAGGTTCTCTAGGAGGATGCTTGGCCACAGGGAGGGCTGTGGGAAGCCAGGGTCAGGTGATGGAGTGGACGTCCAGCCCGAGGTCACTCAGACACTGTTCAGCACATCTGCAGATTGCCTTAGAGCGTGCATGCCTCTCAGCCGAGAGCCTGTTTATGGGTCCTTTCTCTGTCTTCAACCCATAGGCAAGCCTGGAAAGTAAAGGGAAGCTAACCTTTAACACTCATAGCAGCCTTACCTTATAGCCAGGCTCAGGGGCTGGGGGAGGGGTGGAGGGTAAGTGATGGAATAGCATCTGCTTAGCACGTGTGAGGGGTCTGTGTTCAACCTCCAGAATCCCAACCAACCAACCAACCAAGTCGGGGGTAGAGAGATCATGAGTTGTTGGGGAAGTTGACTGGCAGCTGAGCTTTGCTCTAGTGCCTGGGAAAGTAGAGCTGATGATGCCTGCTCAGGAGGAGCAGGTGGCCTTCGTTTTGTGACGTGTAGAGATAAGTGGCCCAGTACCTTCCACTGAAGTGGAAGGAAGCGTGAATGCTCAGCTTGTCAAAGACTCCTCCTTTGCTGGCACTGTTGGGAGGAGAGCTCCGTGCCTGTGCCTGCCCTTTTCCCTTTTTCTGTGGGCACATTTATGTGACGTGTGTCTGTTTGTGGCTGCACATGTGTGTCAAGAACAGAGGTTAACCTCAGATGTCTTTCCTCAGGACACTTCCCACCTTGTTTTATGAGACAAGGTCTTTCACTGACCTGGAACTTGATCATTTGGTTAGGCTGGCTGACCAGAAAGCCTCATGGGTCTGTGTGCCGGGAGGAGCAGCCCTCGGCGCCACACTGGTCTTTTTGTGGGTTCTGGATTTGAACTCATGTCCTCACGCTTTCATAGCAAGTACTTTACCAACAGAGCTATCTCAATCACTTCGGTGGTTTCTCTAGCCCCTCCTTCCTGAAAGAGATTCATTCATTAAAACTGAGTTGAGAAAATGACATCAGATCATTTCCCAGGGGGAGTACACGAGGTTCATTTTCTTTAGGACAAAGAAGCGCAGAATCTCAGTATGAATCTTTACTGAACCCTGTGGTTCAAGTCTATCCCTTGACTGACTAGTTTGTCTCTTCCTTTTGGCTAAAGAAAGTAAGTAAATTAGCAGAAAGGGCTTAAATATCCCCTTGGAGGTATGGATGTGAAGAATTCTGCAGTAGTCTGCTGGCTAAGTGACCTCATTTCTATTTTATGAAAATTCAAAGTGTGTCGTTAATGCCTCCTTTCGAAAATCCTCAAAAGAATGCCTTGCCATGGAACACTCCGAAAGAAAACGAATCTAGTTTGATTTCCACTTTAATTTTAGCTTCCTTCTTAAATGAATTCCCCCCCCCTCCTTGGAATTCTTGTAAGGTCAGGTCATCCAGAGATGGATTTATTGACCAGAAATGAGGCCATACTAATGCCCTAAGCCAAACAGCTTTAAGAAGAAAAGTCTTTCGTGGCTGTTGCTCATGGGTAAAAGCCAGTAAAAGGATGCTGGGAATTAACCAGCAGGTGAACAAGTATTTATTGAGCACCCTCCTTATGCAAGAGTCTTCCAGAAAGGGAGACGTCTTTGGGATCTCAAGATCAGTGAATACCACTTGAATAATCAAGTGTGAAGTAAGTCCTTTTGGGAAGTGGACTTACTTACGGGTGGAAGGGTTTGCGTTTCCAAACAGTTGCCACCGGATGGGACTTCTGTTCATTTTGAACGAGGATGTCTCTGTCCATTCATTTGCTTTTTATCGAGATCTGCTAGAACTCCCACCCGCTGAAGCTAACAGTGGGGTTAGCTGGTCATAATGTCTGGCTACAGGGATTGGCTCAAAGGGTAAAGGAGCTTGCTGCCAAGCCTAGCAGCCTGAGTTTGATCCCTGTGACCCACTGGATGGAAGGAGAGACCTGACTCCTGCCAAGTATCCTCTGGCCTCCACGTGTGAGCGCCATGGTCTGTGTGAACGAAAACAGGAACATAGGCTCAGAAATATGTTTCCATTTTTTCTTTTTGAGATGGGGATCTCACGTTGTAGTCCTGGCTGGCCTGGAATTTGCTATGGAGACCAGCTTGGCCCCAAAGACATTAGAGGTCCACCTGCATCTGTCTCCCAGGTGCCTGGATTCAAGGAAACTGCTATGTCTGGCTCACAAAGAGACATAATTCAAAAAATAATTTTTTTTTAAGGAAATAGCATGTGAAAGAGCTCCAGCCTGTAGCAATTTTGTACATTACAGATTTGTTCTTTGATTATCTTCCATGGGTGGAAGGCTGTTATTTGCTCTTGGATTTCAACACTGCGTCACCTTGCAGGTTTAGAGCCTTTAAGTAAACAAGGAGTGACTTGACTGTATTCTCGGCTCTGTTTGCCGCCTCCAGCTGGACACCTAACCTCATGTCTCAGAACTTAGTCTGACATACTTCGCCTTCAGGTTTGTCCACCGGAACTGAGTCATCTCCAGTTAGGCCCCACAGTTTCCTTTTGCTTCTAGGCCTGGAGTGATATTTTTATTCCCCAACATCTGACTATTCCAAGAGTGAACCGAGGACAAAGGGTGTCGTTCTCACCTGGGAGCTTGCTCAGGTGCATATCTCAAAGCCAGGTGTGACACCCACACCTGCAGTCCCAGAGCGAGAGAAGCAGAAGGAGGAGGAGGATCAGGAATTCAAGGTCGTCCTGTGCTGTATATTGAGTTTGGGCCACACGAGATCCTGTCTTGAAAAATCAGTCCAACGAACAGAAAATGGTCCCAGCCTTCCCATTGAATTTGCTGCTTTGTTTGTTTTTTACGAGTGGGTCTCTGGCTGGTCTTCAACTGGCTATGTAGTAGAGGATGATCTTGGCCTTAAACTTCAGATCTCCCCCCCCCCCCCGTGCCCCCCCCCTACCTGCAGAGTGGTGGGATGCTGAATACACTTCACCATGTACAGTTTATGGAATGCTGAGACTGAACCCAGGGCTTTGTGAGTGTGCCAGCTAAGCAAACACTCTACAGTGAGCTCTGTCCCCAGCTCTGAATTTGCTAATTCATATGCGCGATCAGGTATGAGAATCACTGACTAAATGGTGTTTTGACAGCAATGCCTTGTGCATCTTGTGCATGCTAAATTACAATGAGCTACACCTTCCAGTTCTAGATTGTCTTACTAAAAATGTCATGATTAGAATGTACAGAGACATGTTTCTATTTATTTTTTGGGACTTTGGGGGCAGCATTTAATTATGAAAATTATAAACACACAGAAAAATGGAAAGCATTCTACAGAGATGGCTTAGGTCCTCCATCTAGGTCTATTATAAACTTGGTTTTCACAAGTCTCTCTCTCTCTCTTTTTTTAATCCAAATTAATTTCTCTGGGGGAGGCTGTTTTTTTGCTTTGAGATAGCATCTTATGTGTCCCGGCTGGTCTCACAGTAGCTGGGTATTACTTTAAACTTCTGGTCCTCCTGCCTCTATGTCACAAGTGCTAGGACGACAGCCAAACACTAACCACCTGGTTTATGAGGTGTTGGGGATCGAACCTAGGGCTTTGTGTAAGCTAGGCAAACGCTCTATGAATAGGGCCTCAGCTTCCTAGACTAACTCATGCCAAGAATTTCTTATGGAGATGTTTAGGTCACAACATGGCCATTCTAAACAATTGTGTCTTGATCATGGGACTTAAAAACAAAAAAACTCCTTCTTTTAAAATTCTCAATGAGTTTGACCATTTGTGGCAGTAGGGGAGGGGAGGTACTCAGGGAGGGGTTAGCAGACTGTGAGCTAGCTGGCCCAGGATACTGGGGCTCGGTTATCCTCATTTATAGCGTGTGTGAATTGCAAAGGAGTCATCTCTAATGTGACTGCCAACTCTGTTACTATAGGTCCATTGCAAATATTATTGCCATCCCTGTTTTCCAGGGGGAAGAAACTGTTGAGCCAGTTAAACACTCGAAGAAGAAGGAAAACATCTGTTGGCATGGAAAAGTGATTATTTTCCCAAGCTACCGAGTAAAACACAGCAGCCCTGGCTGTTTCAACTCAGGTTTCTTGTCAGATTTTGTTCTTTCAGGAAACCTTACAGAAACCTCCACCGTCTGGAACTCAGAAACTCATTTGGGAGCTGACTGTGGCTTCTAGAACATCCAGGTGTTCTGCAGATGTGAGAATGTATCCCGCAGTCACCAGATGAAGTCCTAAACAGATGCAAGGCTTGTGTTGTGGCCTTAGCCTCCCTGAGTGCAAAGGGTCACTTCTTTGCTAAGTGGCCAAGAGTGGTTATTGACACTGATGTCTGACTGCTGCACCCGGCCAGTCATCTTATAAAGCTGTGATGAGAAGACATCTCGAGAGGATCAACCCAACTTAGGGGTGACACATTCCTGACTCTCTTGGATTAGGATTCCATATGGGGACCTTGCTTCTGTAGTCCCTGTCATCCCCATAGACCTTACTAACACCAGTGGGTTTTTTTTGACAACCAGACTCCTTGTTGACTTCCTGCACTGAAGGTGAACAAAGAGAAAACTCTCCAAAACTCTCCGAGAGATTCCTAGTGGTGGTCGGTTATCACTTAACTGAGACAACGGGAGTCTTTGTGTCCTACCATGGGCTGGCTCTTTCTAAAGGTTTTGTTGGTTGGCATGTCTTTTTCTGGATTTCTCTACCCTCTTGTGGATTTCTCTACCAGTGGGAAAACAAGAGCTCTCAAACCAAACATCGTGATCATTTTGGCTGATGACATGGGATGGGGTGATCTGGGAGCAAACTGGGCAGAGACAAAGGACACCACCAATCTTGACAAGATGGCTTCCGAAGGAATGCGGTGAGTCTTGAGAATGCTGAGCAAAGCTCTTTGTCATTCCAGTTTTTGTTGGGAGTGCAGACAGTGTAAGTACTGTCTTTTTTTTTTTTTTTTTAAAAAGATTCATTTGCTTTACTTTGTAAGTGTGTTTTGCCTGTGAGCATGTACATGCACATCTGTTGGACCCCCCAGGAACTGGGATCATAGGTAGTTATAAGCCAACAAATAGGTGCTGGGAATTGAACCCAGGTCCCCTTTAAGGGCAACAAGCACTCTTATCTGATGAGCCATCTCTCCAATCCTGATAAAGCACTTTAATAAGCAATCGATGAGTCTATGTCACCTTCATTACTTTATTGATTTGTTGTATTTGAAGTTGGCATAGCATCATACAGACATCTATTCATGTATATACTTACTGGCCCACCATCCATCCGTGTGTCTTCTGTTCATTTATCTGCCCATCGGCATTCATCCTCCAATCAATCATCCATCCACGAATTCATCCATTCATTTACCCATCATCCAATTGTCATCTGCCCATCTGCCAATCCATCTATCCGCCCACTCACCCATCCAGCCATTCACTTGGTAAGATGTTAGGCGTTGAGGATTTAGAGACAGACAAGACAAAATTCTCTGCCCCCAAGTTACTCACTTTCCAAAAGGGGAGATATTTTAAGAGGAAAGTAGACAGTCAAGTTATACACGTGCTCACAATGGGGTGGGGGGGGTTGGAGTCAAGAGGTAAAGGATGCTAAAGGGCGTGGATGGCCTGTGATGAGCTAACTGAGAGCCAGTGAGCACACACGTTTATTTGTGAATAGACGAAACTAGCTTTTAAGGCGTGTACGTCTAAGGGATGACAAAAGGAAGCGAGTGCGTTCTGACAGGTGTAGTGTTTAGAGGGCAGCCATTGCCAAGTCTCATTCAAATTCCAGCTCTTTTGCTCACTTAGATGGAGAACAAGTGTCAGAGCTTGCAGACTCCTTTGAGTCCCCCAGACCTTTTTGAGTCAGTGTTGGTCCAGTTGGATGCAGGGGCATGGCTGGCCAGCATGGATTCTGTCTGTGTTTTGTAAAATGCCTACATTTGACTCAGTGGGAATGGCTCACGTTAGCTGTGAGGGACAGCCTGGGGAACATCTCAGAGTTTCTGCCTCATACATTCCAGAACTTGGATCTTTCCCCCATGAGATAAAGACCCTTGCATCTGACTTCACCTTCTCCAGCCATCATACTTATTATCCCAGCCAAGGTGAGCTTTCTGGATTATTCTGCTTCCAATCACTCAGAGGCATTTAAAACCCAAACCCCATAAAACAACTCACAAACTGTTTTTTCTCCTCTGCCTCTCCATCTTGCGGCTGGCTTCAGCTGTTACCTGCCTAGGCCAGCCTCCCTTTACTGACCTGTGTGGTGGGAACTTCCTGTGCTCACTGTCCTCCTGTTTCGAGTTGTTGCTCAGCACTTAAGTCTCAGTTCCCCATGTGTCCGGTGTGCTCTGACCTTGAAGAGCATGGTGGGTCTTTCCACAGCTGACCACATGGGTTGTGTTAAATGACAGCCCCCTCCCAAATTCACATCCATCATGTGTTACAGTTCTCAGGGGGAAAGGTTTCCCAGATAGAAGTGTTGCAGCTCCGAAGGGAAAGGTATCCTGGCAACCGGGAGTCAAAGAGTACCACAAAGTCACACTGCACAACAAACCTCACACAAGATTTATTGGGAAAGACACAGGAGAGTGAATGCCTCTGCTTAGGTAAGAAGGAGCAAGGCACTGAACTGGAGGCAGGCCTTAGGTAGGGTTTCTTGGAAGTGGAGTTTTGCAGGGTGGGAATTGGTGGGATTTCAAATTCTGAGTTTGGGATGAGCCAGGGATTAGCTGGATTTCGAGCTCTGGGATTGGTGGGTTCCCAAGTTCAGCGACTGGTGGGGTTTCAAACCTGGAAATGAGTTCCAACCTTTTACCCTACACCCAGAACCCCTGAGTCTTCATAAATGCAGCTAGTGAAGGATCTTGATGATTTGAACACAGTGGGTTTAGAGGTGGAAGCGATGCAGTGACAAGCGTCGTTGTAAGAGTCATGGGAGGAAAGGAGATTACTCTTGGAGGTCAGAAGATTATGGAAGTTTCTGTACCTCACCCTCAATTTTGCTGTAACTGTGAAGGAGCTCTAAAGAGATAACTCTTTTACAGTTAAAAAAAAAAATTAAAAAAATAAAAGAGCCACTGACTCCTCTTCCTGAGGTCCTGAGTTCAATTCCCAGCAACCACATGATGGCTCACAATCATCTTTAATGGGATCTGATGCCCTCTTACGGTGTGTCTGAAGACAGCTACAGTGCACTCATATACATGAAGTAAATAAATAAGTATTTCAAAAATTGGTAAAAAAAATGAATCATGGGGGATCAGGGGACACTGTGAGAGCAGGGCACAGTGGGGGAGCAGGGGACACTGTGAGGGAGCAGGGTGCAGTGGTACAGGCCCGTGAGTCTAGCATGCAGGAGTCTTAGACACGAGGAAGGTCAAGAGTTAAGGCTAGCCTGGGCTACATAGGCTCTCATTACCACCTCCAAACCTCAAACCCAATGAAAAAAGGAGGATACAGAAGCAGTAATATAAGGACAGAAAGAGATCAGAGGGATACGTCTACCAAGCATGACTGCTCTCAGCCACAGGAAGTTTGGAGAGAGACAGAGAGAATAGATTCTCCCTTGGCTTCCAGAAGAAACCAACTCTGCTGAGACCTTCATTTAAAATCTCTGGCTTCCTGCACTGCTGCTTCAAGCTATGCAGTTGTAATTTGTTGCATCAGCAACAGAAAATGCACACACACACACACACACACACACACACACACACACACACACACACGCACAGGTCCTTCCTAGCTCTGGGCTTCAGAGAGAAAAGTAAGTTGTCTTTTCCTCACTCCTGGCACAAGCACAAGGCTTCCTGTATAAGGAGCAATTACTATCTGTTCATCAGTAGACGGACTTTAGAGCCAGGCATCACGGGGTTCACCTGTTCTCTCAGCTCTCTAGAAGCTGAGTCAGGAAGACGGCAAGCTTAAGACCATCTTATCTCAAAAACTATAGGGTATGTGGGAGCTAGCTGCAATCGTTTTTAGTAAGTCACCTTTTTGTTACTGTTTGTTTTTGTTTCAAGACAGGATTTCTCTGTGTAAAATCCCTGGCTGTCCTGTAGTCCATATTCTGTAGTCCAGGCTGGCCTTGAACACACAGAGTTCTGTCTGCCTCGACCTCCCAAGTAATGAGATTAAAGACACGCACCACCGTGCTTCTCGTCCATCTTGAGTTTTATATGTTGAATTCCCCACCACCCTGGGGAGACAGTTTCTCCAGACAGATCTCCCCACATACCTGACTTCTAAACTTTTAAAAGCTTCTACTTGGGCCGTCCAGTGGGTTCTCCAAGAGACATCTGGATCATTATTTAAGCTGAGACCTGGGAGGAGGCTTAGTCACCTCTTTTTCAAGCTGCTCCACTGATACCCTACTCTGGGCAGAAGGGGGCCAGGTGCAAGCCCCCTCTGGTGGGGACTCCTTTATTCTGCTCATCTGAGGCTGTGCCGATGGTCAGGTGGGTGGCGCTCCGCCATGACATCGACGGCTTTCCTTTCTGTGTGTTGAAAGGCAGGCTTCCACCTAAGCCCTGATTAATGCGGTCTGCAGGGCTCATTCCTTAAATGTTGTCTAACTTTTTAATTCTTTTATTTCTTGATTTAAAAAAAAATACACGAGGCGGGCGCTTACACTAAGGCAGTGTTTCTCAGCCTGTGGATCTCAACCCCCCCTACAGGGGTCGCATATCCGGTATTTTGCATATCCGCTGTTTACATGGCGATTCATAACAGCGGCAAAATTACAGTTACGAAGTAACAACGAAAGAGTCTTCTGGTTGGGGGCGTCACCGCAGAGTGGGGAACTGTATTAAACGTCGAAGCATTGGGAAGGTTGAGAACCGCTGCACTAAGGAAAGCATGTGGAGATCAGAGGATGACTGGCCCTCTCCATCCACCGTATTTATGCTAGGATCTAGCTCACGTGGTCAGGTTTGTCAGCAAGCACTTACCAAGCCCTCTGACTGGGACTGGCTTTTTGTTGTTGTTTGTTTGTTTTGAGACAAGGTCTTTCCCTGCTTTGGAACTCACCAAACAGGCTTCCCTCGATAACCAGGGATCCGCTCGCTTCCTCTAAGTGGTCACCTTCACACCTGGCATTTTGCTTTTAAAATGCTGCAGATGCTGAAGATTGACCATAGGTCCTCCGGCTTGCAAGGCACACATCTCACCCACTGGGCCGTTGCCACAGCCCACCCACAGGTGTTTTATGGGAAGGAAAGAGAACGACCTCTTTCTGTGACCAAGAGAGAGGTGGCTTGTAGCCAGCCCAGCCCACAGGTCGCCCTTCCTGCTCGCCAGGCTGACTCTGGTGAAGCTGAAAGCCTGTTCTGCGCATGCTTACTCAGATGCATCGATTAGCGCGCTCACTTTGCACCTCGCTCTTACTCTCTTGCCCCCAGTTTAGTTCTGGGTCAAGTCAATGCCGTTAGCGGGGTTTGGGAGGTAGCTTAGCCAGGCGTCAGAGATCAATAGCCACTACTCAAAGACCAGAGGCTCCCAGGGACTTGAGAAGTGTTTCTAAAAAGGGTCTCAGTGAGTAATGAATTGAGCTGTCAACTCAGCCAAAGACCTGGGTAAAAGTCTGTTCTCAGAATTGACCGCATTTCCTGTCACCTCAACGATGATCTCCCTCCATTGCCCCCTCCCTCCTCCTCCTCTCCCTCTCCTTCCTCCCATTCTCCTGACATGAAGCCGTGGGAGCTGAGTGTGTGTGTGTGTGTGTGTGTTTATGTGTTTGTAGTGACCTAAAGGAGCCTGTCAGCCAGGCTGAACTCTTGCTGTCTGGTACACGCCATGACTAAGAACACCAGGGGGACATTCTGGATGAGCCTGGTGGTAGGAAGAGAAAGCCTCCCACCCCCCAACCGTG